AGAAACATTTATTCTAAAACTCGTTTATGCAATTATTATTTATTTTTCTTAGGTAAATTTATTTTTAATAATTATTTTCCAATTTTATGTCAAAATATTTAACTTTAAAGGGCAGAATTCGAAATTTAAATGAAATGAGTTGTAAGAGCCATAAAAAACGAGGGCTAACTTAAGCAATAATAAAATTCATCGCAATGTTAGATTAAAAAAAGCAGACGATATTTTTGGAACTATTTTAGAATTAACAGATTGTGAAGTGAATTCGTTACGGGAAAAGATAAAACTGAGTTTTGTTGTGTAAACTGAAATAACTATTCAAAGATGGACTTACCGTTACAGAATAAGAAAATAAAGGAGTTAGTATTAATATCATCGCCCAAAAGGATTTCTTACGCTTTCGTTAGTTCTGATGTTTTCCTATGAAAAATCGTTTGAACGGATGGAATTGTCAGTGTCTAGTTCTGAGTTAGAAATGATGAAAAATGAGCTGGTATTTAAATAAATGTCATTTTGTACATTAATTGGATCTTCCATTTAACACTAGCAACAGCTTATATATATTTTTTTTCGCCAAACATCGGAATTTGCCCCTAGAATTTGAATGATTGAGTGATATAGTGATGCCAAGCCTTTACAAGCGTAAGTACTTGATGTTTTATGTTGTAATTATTGTAGTTAATGTATTTTACCTTCATGCTAAGCTAATAGAATTGGTTCTAATTCATCAAAGTTCATTACAAATTGTATTTTTAGTTAGAAGTTTGGTGAAAGGAATAAGTGTTCTTTAATTGGTATTAAATGTGTTACACCTAAACTTAGAGTTTATAAGATATTTTATTAGCATTTAGAATTTAAATTAAGATAATTCAATTAGATGGATACGTTTCTTCACGAAACAAAATACCTTTTTAAGAGTGTAACGCTCTATATTGAGTGTAACGCCCTATAAAATAGGGGATGGTTATAACAGATTTAGAAATTAGAGTTAAGATAAGAAATTGTTTATTATTTTATTTAAAGGAACTGTGATACAATATTATTTATTGTTATGATTTTCTTTGTTATGGCTTTGTATGGTATTGCTATTGTTTTCTTTGGTCAAGCAAAAAATTGCGATGTAGTATAATTTACTAAGGAAGTACTTTTGGGTTAGCCAGGCGCAAGGAAGTTCAGTTGTGTTTTTTAAACTTTATTTTGTGTATTTTATTTAATTTTGATGTATTTAAAAATAAGTAAAATTAAAATAAATGAAATTAAAATAAATGAAAATAAATAAATAAAAGTTGGTGTAGGTTTACATTTTTGGCGACATTTCGCTTGCGCTCAGCTAACCGAAAAGAAGTTGCAAGTGGTAATCTTACTGTGTGTGAGTTGAAAACTCTAATTAAAAACAGAAAAAAAAATTATAATAGGCAAAATGTCGTAAACAATAAAAAAACGACGATTTGAATTAAAGCGATTAAGACTTTTTGCTCTCTCTTAGTGGTCATGTAAATCGGAATATATACTACTACTCTCATAAATGAGTTGGATATCCTCAAGTTGATTCAAAATTTTGATCCTAGAAAAGATAAAAATTAGTATTTAATGAATTCTTAAAGAATGTTTTATTAATTTAATATCATTATTAATACATCCGGAAGTTTGGGGCCCCTTAATGCTAATTTCACTTTATCTCGGGAACAAATTAAGTATTTGTATTTCGCTATATCTCGAGAACTAATTGAGCAAATCGAAAAATGTTTGCCAACAATTATACAAGTCTTTCCCCCAAAGATAATTCCACGTAAAAAAATTTTTTTTAATAATATTCTAATTTTATTTTATGTAATAGGGGTTAAAGAGTTAGAGTTATACGGTTCTTTGACACACTATTTTGAATTAATTTTAAATGACAGGACGCAAAATTTAATTGAAATCTGTCATAAAGTTTCTGAGTTAAAAAATGTCAAAGAAGCTGTATTTTAAGAAACTTCATTTCTCAAAAACTATCGGTTTAATTTCGTTCAAATTTTGTATTTTGTCATTTAGAATTTCACAATTTAAAATAAAGTAAAAATTTGTGTATCTTACAAAGCGAACATTTCTCAATTCTTATTAAATAAAATGAAAACAATAATAAACAATTATCAAAATTTAATTTTAATACAAAATGGTAATTGGATAAAGGAATTTTTCGATTTATTTAAAAACTTTCCGAGGTATGGCAAACTACACTATTGGAATAATCATTTAATACTCACAAATTTAAATATGGTGAAAAAAGGTATGTTTATTCAGAGAAATGACGTTTTTGAGCCTGATTTTGTAACTTAATTAAAACTTGATACTAATTAACTAATATATTTGAGGTTACTCTTTTGTATCAATAAGTTTGGCACTTAGTTCATGAAAATCCCATCATTTAAACAAAAGTTATTAAAGGCGATGTACAGTTGGACCTTTATATAACAAAGTCGCTAAATCCCGATAATAAGTTCGTTATATGGAAAATTCGTTAAATAGAAAATTACCATTTGAAATACTTAAACACAGAACAGGTTTTAAATTCATAAACACTAGACCTAATTATAATAGTAATTGATACACCTTTATCTTCTTAACTAGTATCTACCATTTATTTTATGAATCTTAAAACAAAAGAAATCTTCATGGAAAGCAAGAATAGAGCAAAACATTATCCAGTATATCATGCTACATACATTTTCAACTTAAAAAGCTAAATTTATGTATAAAATTACAGCTGCATTTATAATAAAAGTAATTTTAAACATACCTCGTGCGTACTTAAGTTTAATTGCTGCTGATAAAATCCGTTAATTTTGTCTGAGTTTTTCGTTTGAAATGCAAAAAAGGGGAAATAAATTTCACTGCTTTCTCTAAAAATTAAGTGGCTTCGAAAATCAATTCAAGGTAATTTCCCCTATCAAATGCGATAACAAGTTTGAAAGGTTCTGCAATATTTTGGGAAATATGGAAAGTAGATCTCAAAGAAAAGTTCGTTAAATAGAAAATCCACTTCGTTATTTGGAAGTTATTTTACGAAGAAATTTCCAAAATGCTCTTGGTTCCTCGAAAAATAGAGAAATTCGCAAAATGCAAGTTCGTTAATTAAAAATCCGACTGTATTTATTTTGTGCAATGTAGACATGTTTATCCATTTTACATAAATAACTGCTGATTATGAAAAAAATTTCTCTACTGAGATTGAGCATTTTTTGAAAACAGTTTTATTATAAAATTGAAACTCATCCATGTTTTATTCAACATTCACAATATCTCCATAAAAAATGGATTTAATATTTTCTCTTCTTGGTTTCAAAGTCATGCCGAGATTTCAGGCAATGATTAGCTAATTCTGCCTTAAGATTTGCCATTACTCACTTAACTCAGTCTATTCCTTCTGACTGTTTACCGCAGCATGTACTATTTTTTTTTGAATAAGCTGTTAAGCAGACCAGACACTGAAGCAATTCGCGGTGAGGAATAATAGATGCGACAGCAGCACAGATGAGAACCGCTATACATCATACACTAGAAGGACAGCTGAAGTTTTCGCGCATGCTGAGTAAGAACATCCGGATAAGCCGTAAATTCGAGGTGATGATATTTCACCATTTGTTTGAGGTGATGTTATTTCACCATTTTGTGTTTATATTTTTATTACAGTTTGAGGAGATGACATTTTTATACGATCACCTATCTATTATGATCTCTAATAATAATATAATATTTTATAATTCCGATTTATTTTTAAATAATTCATATTTTTTTATAATTCAATTTCAGTAATTTGTTATAATTATACTAATTTATATATATACTTCAAATATATCTTAATTTGTCCTTTTGTTTGCTCTCATTAAAACTAATTAATTTTTTTGTTTTAAATTTTTGTACTCAAAGAGTCCCATAATAATATTCATCAACATTGTTTCAGCTGCACACACGTTTAGAGCGGTGGCACTTAGACGTTCTTTGCATTTCTCCGATTCGATAATAGTTTTCTGACTACGTTCGACCATTCTTTTGTTATTTTGTATATACCAAGCAGCAGTGCCGATATTACTTTTAATAGTTTATTAACTGGTTCACTTTCCCCTGAACAACTTTAGTTGTTCTTTTCCGATCGTCTATTTAATTTTTTTTAAATAATTTATTTCAATTACATAACTTATGACTAAGTAAAAAGAAAGCCGTCATATTTGTTTTGCTTTTTTTAAATATTGAATTTAGATCCAGAAGTTTTATTTCAATTACAAATAATCCCATGCTGGATGTTTGACACTTAAAACTGGCACATGAATATTTTCATTAGCGTTGCCACCGGCAAAAAAATTAAATTCTTTTTCCGAATTAGCATTAGAGATTTATATATAATTTATTTTATTGCTTAATTTTATTATTTACTTAGAAACAATCTAACCAATGTTAAAGTTCTGATACTTTTTAATTCAAAATAATTCCAATCATTATGCATTAAATTAATAAAAAATTAAATAATTAAGAATCTTCGCTTAAATAGTTTTAGAGACATGGCAGAGACGTAAATCAATATTACGAAGACTGCATTATTAGTGCGCCATATTGTCCACGTTACGGTTATCCCTTATATTCTTATATACTGAAAAACAAAACAAAAAAAAACAACAAAAAAAAAATCCATCGGGAAAAATGTGCAGAGGCTCTGAATGTTTGAACTCCGCAGTGGTTTCCCAAAATTGTGACAAAATTAAAATTAAACACAAATTAAAATACTAAATCTTTTTTTTTTCCAAAAGAAAACTAAAATTTCCTGGCAGTTAATCACGTTATAAAACAGTGACATGAAGCTTCCTTTATTAATAACTTAATTAATTAATAAAACTGTTGACCAATAGGATATGAGTATAAAAGAAATTTAATGTAGATGTACAGGCCTCCAAAAGTTGAAGTATAACTTGTTTTTTATTTGAATTTGTAATTTAATGAACATAGAATTCAAAAATTTATAGAGAATGTGCACTGAGCAGCACTTTATTAAATGAGTCATAGAAATTAAAACATGATTCTCTGAAATTTATAAAGAATGAGTCATACATATTCAAACACAAGGAAAAAAAAGCACATCTATCAAATAATAAAAATAACAAAATAAGTTGTGCTGTATTTCTCTGGCGCCATAGTAGAGCATGACTATTTCTTTTCTCTTAGTCTTTCCTTTAATGCATTGCTCCAATGAATTCGACGTGATGGCTATTTATAAAATTTAGATATCTTAATTTCAGATAACAAATTAGGGCATCGACGTGTAGGGCATCCAAAAACAGAACTGCCACCACTTGTAAACGAATATTTCATCATAGAAAACAAATAATTATATTAAAAAATAAGTCAAAAGATTATGAAAAAAAAGTAGAGAAATCATTACTAACGAATCTTCTACCGAGAGTTGAAACAACGTCTGTAAATACTGCCCCCTACCGTTGAGAACACGAAGTACGGACCAGAATAAAATTAATTGTATAACAACTAATTATTTTTAAAAAAAACTTAAAGAGCTTTTACGAAAAGTAATCTGAAACTTCATATGAAACAGGTTAAGAATTGAACAACACTAGCACATGAATTCAAATAATTTCTTCTTCAAACTCAATGGTTTTATTTGAATACATTAAGTTATCACTTATCACAGCAGCAGGATTGTAGATGAGCATAGAATTCACAATTGAGTCATTGATCAACCGTTGGATTGTTGACGATTTCATTGGGGGCTTTTTGTCTTTCTTCTCTTCGTTAAGTATGGAATGAAATATGTTAAAAACCCACATCCGATGCAAATTCCACTCAAAACATACAGGACACCGTCATAGGACCCCTGTGTACCTCTAAAGTGACCTAAAAGTAGATAATACAAGAATTAAATGGTACTTAAGTGATCATACAGGTTGTTTCGTAATCACCGGTTTCAATATATATATTTTTAAATTATGAGAAAAATACAATAAAAAACTATACTCATTATCAATACATATATTTCACTCATGTGGCTCCATAAACACTGGTATTTCTCTATTTATTGGCAACATTAGTTATTATTCATGTTCTTAGGCTGTCTGAAGTAGTAAATTAAGTAGTTCTGAATAAGTAGTTACACGTTAAGCATTTATTTGGTATAGTTTTGTAGTATTTATTTAGTAAGCTTGTATTTTATAGAAATTATATATTATTTATTACGACGTTTTTACCTAAATTTATTTTTGTTCCTATCTGAAATGGTTGTTGAAATTTTATACATAAACGGTACTATGCTGCCGCAAACTGTCTTATCAATTCTTCGTGACATAGCTTGCCTTTTTCGAGTAATAGAATATATATTATGCGGTACTCTAGTTCATGGCTCGAGTGGTGTGCGAGGAAGTAGTATAGCAGGTAATGGAACATTGAGATGAGTTTTCTATCTAATATCATGACAAAGATGGGGCTTGAATACCATTAAATTTTATTTGTTGTGCAAGAAAATTTTGAAGGGCTTCTAGTGCGGAATAAATTTACTGAGTTATTAATTTTTTAGCTAATTTTTGAAATTAAAGCAACAGTTTAAAGTTTTTGTTGCTCTATACAAAAAGATAACACTAAAATTAAATTTAGAATGTGTTGTTACATCAGTTTGTCGAATATTTCTGTGTTTCGTAATTCTTTTAATAAATAAAACAGAATGGTACATTATTTAAATTCACTTAACTTACGTTTTTCTTGTCCCAATGTCATTGTGAGCATATTTTTCCAAGTTTATTCGAAAATATGTTTATAAGGTGTATTGATGACGGATTAATATCGATTTCTTTCCATTCGTAAACAACGTCACTCATTTTACAAATCTAAAGGACATATTTAAGCGGCAAGTTGGTACTATTTTTTTAAAATCAAAATTGGTGTAAAATTAATATTGGTAGGAATTATGCCGTTTTAGCTCTGCTTTGTTGAGCCTAGATTTATCACAATCCTGATTGTAATTCTTGAAAATACGCCACTATGTTAGAGGAAATGGGGATGCCTGAAACAAATGACTCGACTGTCTTTTACAGAATTAGTAAGCCTAGGATATCTCTAACATAGTTATCTAAGATTCCTCTGACTTACGAATCTAAGTTACTCATGACTTTGGAATCTAACTCCACAGTAAAGAAATCTTTTATCACTTACATCATGACTATATTTTGAGTTTATGCGCCAACAAGGGAGAATATTGATAATCACTAGTTTTAGAAAGAAATATGTCCATTCCTAACTTTAACGCGCTTAACAGACATTCCTCGCTGATGTTTAAGTTGCCAGGCTTTGAAATGGGGACCAAAGACAAGACAAAGAGTAAGCCTGGTTTAAAATCACGCAACACCGTATATGATGACTTAAAGCAACTAACTTCCCTGCCAAGGTAGTTATAACCATTCTCTAACTGCTTTAGGCCTGGAAATTTGGCTGGATAATCCATTCGGCAAATATCTTTACATTCCAGAAAATTCTAGATAGATCTATGTGGCAGCGTGCAATCATCCATTAAAAAATATCAGAATCAAATGAAAGTATAAAAAATGAACATATGGTTTTAAGAGCACATTTGTATTCTTATACTAGTTACAGGACCTCTTGACAATATATGAGGTTAATGAGTTTCCGAAATATCAAACTTCCTCTGTTAAAATGGCGTTGACTTCTTGGGTAATGGGGAGCAAATAATCAATATTGGAGTGTCTATCGTAATCATTGTATTGGAGTGTTCCTTGTGTATATTCTTTTAATGCTAGGAATTCTTTACCTATTCAACACTATCAGAAAGTAGATTGAGATGAAAACTGCCTGTGCCTGAACTTTTGGGGAGCAGAGCATTTCGGTAACGTCGATCCCACCATAAGTTGCGAAATTATCTTTGTTGACTTTAGATGTGCTTTACCAAACAAAGCAATCAAAAATAAATAATTAATAAAAACAAATGAGATATACTCTTAATAAAACTCATTTTTGAATAAATAGAGCTGTAATCTAACAACTCAATAGTGTAATAAAATACTTGCTTAGTACTATGGAAAATTCATTCTTTGCGCTGTAGCACGTGACTTGGTGGTCGGAGGAAGTTTTAATATGGATTGTATTATAATGACCATCAGGTTTTGAGAGCACGTACTGTTGTGCATCAGCTTTGGTGTTCAGCTGAGAAAAACAAACTTCTTTAAGGACCATACATGTAAACTTACTGTTTATAAAAACAGGTATTGCTGATGAAAATCTCTATTATTGACTTCTTAAACACTATGTTTACTATGAAATACTGGCCCCATTATTACAATGTATATGCTTTCTTTAAACTAGTTTCAAATTTGAAGTGACACTTGCTAAACAGTAATATTGATAAGAGTTATGAATTAATTTTGAAGGGTTTATGTAACCGTTTAGAGAATATCTGTAATTTTATACAGAATCAGAATTATATAAAAGTATTTGCACGAAATAAAGTTACACAGAATTTTCTTTATCAGGGAATTGAGCAAAATAAGGCTTTTTGAGTACAATGTAATTCTGAAAAATGAAAGTAAATAGTGATAAAAGATTTTCCATTTTACTTATTTCTTAGTTTCTTTTAAAATGCAAAATGAAGACTGCATTAATAAAAAATATATTGAATCATTTCAGCTACGAATTAGAGCTTTTATCCAAGCACCAAACATTTAAATAGTCACATAGTATAGAAGTGTTTATAAGGCATAATAAAAAGAAATAATTATGATAATTATGCCCATTATTTTTAAAAATGTATTTAAACATTGTGTTATTTTTAAAAATGCATTATAGATATACTATTTTTAAGGTGTAGAAAAAAACTAATTTTACCTATCATAGGCGACATTCCTAGACTAAATAGGGGGTATAAAATGAGCCTAGAACCCATTGCCATAGTCCTTTTATCTTCTTCTATGCAATCTGGTATTAACGCGATCATTAAAACAAATAGTGCTCCTATGAAAACACACAAAATGAACTCACACAACAACACAAGTACATAATGACGAACGAAGATAAACGCTATGAATGATACAGATGCGCATACAAAACATATTGTTGTAGTTGTCGGTGTAGTTAAGTAATATTTATCGTTAAAAACTCCTGAGCCAAGGCGACCACATAAATCAAAAACGGGTAGACACACAACGTAATATATCTCCAAATTTGCACCAACGCCTTTATCACGAACGAAATCTAGAATTATAGTAAACACGGTGAAACAAATGAACAGAGTACCAGCATTGATTAAAAGTAAAAGAAGAAACGGCAGATCAAGATAAACTTTCAAAGATAGAATCGAACTTTTCCATCTGTTCCGTTTCTTACTATCTTTTGAATTACTGTCAACTAACACTCCACATTCGTGTTCATTTTGCTCGCATGAAACTTTCAATTCAGGCCCTTGTTCTGTTTCATGAGATGTTGAAATTTGTGTTTCATGATGCTTTTCTGGTTCAAGAGAATTCAAAACATGTGTTTCATTTTGCTCTTCTACTGAGTGAAGTTTAAATTTCGTGTATTTATCTTTGTATGGATCAGATTTTTTTGCAACAGGATTTTTCAGTAGCATAGCAGCTGGAATAGTATGAGCCATTACAGCTGATAAAATCAGAAATGATCCTGAAACGCCGTATAAATTTATAGAGTTCTCAATTAAAAGGGGTAAAAAGATGCCGCCTATACAGGCGCCAGATGTTGAAAATCCGTTAGCCTTGCTTTTACTTTCTGGAAATAGTTCATTCAAGAGAGCTGGTAGCATGTGATTTCCCAAGACATAACCAAGACCTGAAACAAATATTAAATATGAAACTAGATGCGTTATATTTAAGCATGAAAGAAACTAACGAGAATGTGTAACTGATTTTGTCAATCCTGTTGTGTCACATTTTGTATAAAAACTTTAAGACTGACATTCAATTTGATCATAACAATGACTTCAAGACTTACATAATATTTTTTAAGGTATGAAAAATAATAATCTTCTAAAATTTTTATTTAGTCCCATGCTGTACGAACATAAAGATGTGTGACTATACTAAAAAGAGGCAAACAACCTTAGTTTTAAAATTACTAAGTTATGTTACAGTTAACTCTTCTCATAACGATGAAAAAAAAGGTTGATTTATTGCTGCAGATTCTTTGGCGGGAAAAAACGAATCACGCTGAATATCTATTGATATAATGATCTTATTTTCACGTGCTAGTTCTTATTCTTAATGGTTAAAGGAGGTGACCTCAAATATGTTAATTTATTAGGGCAAACAATATTTTAAGTTACGGAATTATACACAAAAACGAACTTTTATTTCAATACACATTTCAAAATATGTCGGAGGGGTTGCCGGAATTTGGGAATTACTTAAGGCTTAGAATCTATATTTTGAGAGTAAGAATTCCAACTCCCTCGAAAAGAAGGTAAGTTTATTCAGAGAAAGTACTTTTTTTTGTCTCTGATATCGTAACGTAAAATATCTTTCCCCTTATTAATCAGCATATTCGAAGTAATCCGCTCGAATCAGATTTAGTTGTAGCTAATGAAGTACTTTAGATCAAAAGCTATTCAGTGAGATTCATGTTTTTCGCTCACTCTACGCATGATTAGTCACAGATTATTGGTTATTTATAAATGAACTATCAAAGAAACATTATTGTGCTATTTCCAGAATAATCTTAACACGTTATTGTGAGATGGGTATATAATTCCCAATTACTTCAATATCACCTAATATACAATAATTTGCGCGTGGAAATAAGATAATAAAGCTATAGGTGATTTTATCTGTTATAAGTATCACATTCGGATTTAATATAAATCCATGGTCTATTTCAATTTATCCTGATTCATTGCTATAAATTTCGTAACTGAAGTCTTTTGGGCCTAGGAAAGGTCTTATTTTACAAAACCATAGCTGTATTTTATAACCAATAAAGTCATCATAGATAAAAGTGGAGGATTTTTGAGATTTATGGCAGAAATTGTTACACAGTTTAAGGAAATACTTGGTTGTTAATGTTAACAAATAAACTTACCAAACATCAATCCCCATAATAGCGTTATCGCTAATATGTCCTCCGAAAAAAAGCAAGCACCTATGCTAATTGTTGATATTGAGCATCCAATTAATATCATTGATTTCATCCCGAAAATTTGAAATAAGTAACCAACAAAAGGGCCTGTAATTAAAGCAAACCAAAATTTAAAAACTCGTGTATAATATCACATATAAAAATATGTTGAAGGTACAATTTTTTTAAAGAAAATCATTCCGATGTGCTAAAAATTAAAAAAAAATTAGGCAACATACGTTTTGTTGTTGTTTAATTTTAATCGAAGAAATAATTGAAGCAAATGTCTACTTCTTTATTTAGATTTATGTTTTATATTTTTTTAACTTTTGAATTTTCAATAATTATGATAAATAATTACAATAAGTTCTTAAACTTCAAGAGCTAATAATAAATATTAAATTTCAATATGATTAGTAGAATGTTTCAATTCTTCCGAAACTAGAATGGTCTTGTTCAAAAATTTATTTTTCTCTAACCATTTACATCAACTTGAACTTCAATCACTTGAGGCGTTTTTGTAAATCCGTAAACCAGGGAGAATGCTTAACTCTCTAATGCATTTATATTTTAGCATTTTATTTAACGACATGATAAAAACTGGTAGGCAATGCGGGAAAGAGGGCAGATCTTCGGAAAGAACCATTACATAGTTAAATAAATTTTTCTTGGCTCATATGTGGAGTAAAATTAGCATAAATAGATACATTGTTTTTTGTGCCCCCGAATTGTTGAGATAATGTTCTCAAAATAAATTCATTTTTCTTTAAAAACTTTTGCGTGTTTCCAAACTTTGTCTTTTCGTAAAAATTTGTTTGGGGTAAAAAAAAGCAACTAATAAATACCCTTCAATGACTAACATTCCAAATAGACACGCTGTATTCCTTGAGACTCTGCGGATCCTCACAAATTATTCAACGTGCTTAAGTTCTGTCTTTCGTACCATTAATATTGCATCGTAGTAGGTGACATTCCCATCATTAGTTAAGTTTTTTATTTGCGCACTGCTCTGCTCATTGATTTCTTGTCTAAGATTCAGATCATTACCAAACTCATTACGCAGTATCTATTCCTTATCGCAAAAGCAATCTGTAATATAAGCTAATCAGAAAACTAACACTATCAACTCAATATTGGTCGTCAATACAACAATTGCATGATGAATTTTTAATCAACCACTTACATCAACTTGAACTTCAATCACTTGTGGCAGTTTTGTAAATCCTTAAACCAGGGAGAATGCTTAACTCTCTAATGCATTTATATTTTAGCATTTTATTTAACGACATGATAAAAACTGGTAGGCCATGCGGGAAAGAGGGCAGATCTTCGGAAAGAACCATTACATAGTTAAATAAATTTTTCTTGGCTCATATGTGGAGCAAAATTAGCATAAATAGATACATTGTTTTTCATGCTCACAAATTGTTGAGATAATGTTCTAAAAATAAATTCATTTCTCATTAAAAAATTTTGCGACTTTCCAAACTTTGTCTTTTCTTAAAAAGTTGAATGAGGTAAAAAAAAGCAATTAAAAAATACCCTTTAATGACTAACATTCTAAATAAACAGAATGTATATTCTGTATATTTTATAGTAAAACTTGATATACATTCTGTGGTAGTACTAGGTAGAAAAAAATATGGACAAAAACGAAATATGCATGCATATAAAAACCTTTGTGTGGGCTGTAAAGTGAGAGGCAAGTATTATAGAGTCCTACAAATATCATGCTAACACAACCATGAAAAAAAGTACAACGAGATAAAAGAGAAAGTAAAAATAACAAGACAAATTTTAGAATTAGTTGATTAGTTTGCTGTTATTTGATTTTTTGTTGAGATCAGCTTTTTGTATTTTAAGGTGTGTTTTTGATGTTTCAATAAATGTATTTTTATATAAGAAATGTCTCTTCAGTACATCTTGATTCTTTACAGTACTGATAACAAGACAAAAGACAAACATTGGTTAAATATAATTTTAAAAAAGTTTTCTGAAAGGATATGCGAAGTCTTTTGAAACGAAAACATAGGAGAATCAACCGAAATTTTTAATTATCGAAATTATTGAACTTAATATACCATGTTCACAAATTAGTTTATTATATATTTTATTTTATAACCGGCGTTGGTCAGTTGACCCAATTCTGAGTTTGCGATTATAAATGCTTAACTTAATAGCCTTGTGATTTTTAACCCAACCCAGAGGACTCCTGAATCAAGCAATACGGAAAACTAACCTTCATGGAGAATTTTTTTACTGGAACTATCCTGCATTTGCTTTATATAAAGAGGAAAAACACGGAAACCTCCCACGGTTTAAAGGGGAATTTAACCCATGATCCGTCTAATACTGAATATATTTTATATTAGCACTAAGGTCGAGGATTGGAACCTGTGTCACTTCTTTGGGACGTAAACACTGTATTCCTTGAGATTCTACGGCTCCTCACAAATTATTTAACATGTTTAAGTTTTGCCTTTCGTACCACTAGTATTGTATCGTAATACGCAACATTCCCATTATTAGTTCATTGATTCTTTCACTAAGATTCAGATCATTACCAAACTCTCCTATAAGTATCTACTCCTTATCTCAAACATTTGAACCAAAACATTATTCAGAATCAAAAGTAATGACAAGAGGAAGCTGATATGATTATAGCAAGAGTAATCTTTTCCCTCTAGTAATATAAGCTAATCTGACAACTAAATTTATCAATTCAATATTGGTCATCAATACAACTATTGCACGATGAATTTTTAAAACAAATTATTACTTACCTGAAAGGTTTCTAACTATAAAAGTGAGAACGAAAGGAAAGGATGCCTGCTTTCTATTGACATTGTATCGGGTTAGAGATTCCACAAAGTATATTGCCGAAAGTCTTATGGTGCCAGCGAGCATGAAATTAATGATAAAGCTCCCAATCAATATTTTCCCGCCATCAATAGTTTTCGTTTTCATCTGAAAAAAATTTAGAGACATAAACAGAATAATATTTAAAAACAAACTATAAATTATTTCGAGTTTTCTATAATATGGCTATTGAGCCAAAAGGTAGGATGGTAAATTTTTTTTTCTCTATTTTGTCCTGAAGAAGAGCATATTTTGCGCTATAAATTCAAAGATTTTTCGTATAAATATTTATTTACGACTTTTCCATTTTACGTTATAAACTACAGAACTGCTGCTACTAAAGTTTTAAGTCTTAATTGGAAACAATAAAATGTTGGTTCTACGTAGATCCAACATCCGAAAGATTTACTTAATTGGAAACAATAAAATGTTGGTTCTACGTAGATCCAACATCCGAAAGATCTACGTAATCTCCTCTAAAACCTGTGAAAAGTCTGCTGAAGTAATATGTTTAAAAAATTGAAAACCGTTATGGAAAAAAATAATATGATGAAAATCTAAATTCTATCGTTTGCGAGGGCCTCGAAGTGCTTTAATAGTGGTCCTCCTGTTAAGGTACCTCCAGAGGACGACACGAGTAGCCAAGAGTTGAAATATGCTATTTTTGATTTTCGTTGAAATGAAAACTAAACCAAAAAGTTCAGAAACGTTAAAATTTGAATAAAGAAAATCTCTATGTTCTAAATTTTATAAACGCTGAGAAAGGTTATATAAAAAACGTGCCTATTGCCTTTTCGTTAAATTTGGTTGAAATTTTAAATTGAAGAGTATCGTTAAAGTAGCTGCATCGTTTCTCTTTAAATGTCTATTTTTTTAAATTTTGAAATTTCCAATTTATAATTCGCAAAAATACGATGATGACGTATATGACTAATGGGCATAATGATTGTATTAATGACTGAACTATTGAGACTATAAATTCCAGAGTCCGGTTACGCCAAATATGGTAACAATAGAACAGATTTGGATAGTAAAATATCCAAATCTGTCTAAAAAGAAGTATCTTTTTCTGAGCAATTAGGTTTTTGTGTCTGAGACCGAAACTTGAATAATATTTAGTGCTAATTAATTATATATATATTTGAGGTATTTAAAGTCATTCCTTTGAGATATTAAAATTGCCACTCAATTGGTGAAAATTCGAAAATTGGAGCAAAAGTTCGTTTGGGAGAGATATTATTTATTTTGTACACTGTACATATGTTATTTCCAACATATATGTATTTCTTCAAAGGTGAAGTTCATAATTTTTCTTTTTGTATACCGACAATTAATGTACTATTTGAGCATATAAAGAACTACAATGCATGTATAAATTTAGAAGGCTATTACATTTTATGCAACTTCCTTAAATTTATAGATATATGTATATCCAAAAATGGGAGTTTAATGAATTCCAGAAGCTTAGAAAAAAATAAATACACTTTAGTTCAAAAATTTTGTCTCATTTTAGGTGAAAATAAATTTTAATTTTTCTCTTTAAATTTAAAATTTTTGCTCTTGTTAACTAATGATGCCTATTAATTTTTGTTCCATGCTGTTTGATAAAATTGTTTAAACTATTGAGCCATTATTACTTTAACAATAGCTAATTGCCTATAAATTTGCAATCCGAGTGTTGCGCAATGTCAAGCAGTTTTCGTCTAATGAGCTTGAAATTACTAGAGTACTATAGTTTCATAAATGGTAGCGATCCGAACTTCACACAACAGCTGTGTGGGGGTTGGCGAGGGGCAGCAAGGTGGGGGTGATAGCTTCCTAGTAATTAGAGAAGTTACAAATCAAAACCTGCTTTTAAATTTACAAACTTTTTATAGTCATGTATGATATATCATTGATTGTTAATATTTTGAAATATATATTATATCTGATTAAATGGTATTTATAATTAAATTTGTATGTATATTTTCAATAAAAACTTTATATTTGACCTTCTTCAAAGGTGTCACGACATGTTTCAGAGTTGTACAAAGCAAAAAGAAATTTTGATAGTTTTTAAAGATTTATACAATATTTTATTTAATTTTTCCGCAAATGAAAAGAGTGTATATACATTGTTAAACCCACTATTTGATTTATAAATTTCATTCTTTTATTATATGAAAAATCGGTATTTTTTAAAAATTACTGAAAGTTTGCCACGATACATAAGCTGAAAAGTACAAGGTTTAAAATTTGGTGTCTTAAATACTTTATTAAAAACATGCTAGTCCATCTATTTTACTAACTATATCCACGAATGTTAATAAAACATTCTCTTGTTTATCTGTTTCATTAAAAGTTTACTTTTCCATCTATGAAATAATTGTTCGGTTGTATATTCAAGATAGATTGATTTGTTTCTCTTTCCAAAATGAATTAATAAAATTCAACACGTTCTTTTTCATTCCCATTTAAATTTCATTTCTTAAATAAATGATAGAAAATAAAAACACATTATAAATTATAAAGTTAAAAAAAAACACTTTTAAAAAATATTCTATGTACTTACGTTTTCCTGAATATTCTCTATTCAATGCAGTTTTTAAAAAAACGATAAAGGATTATGATTCAACAACATTATCCTCATATCAAGTTTCAAAATTAGCTTCGACGGTTAACAGTCCTCCTAATAAGTAAGATTAATCAAGAGTTGGTGTCGATGACACGGCCTTGGCATGGACAAATATTTATCGCCTATTTTTCCTGTTCCATGTGAAAAAAAAATTAATACTACACAGAACGTTTTTTCTATGAGTTAAAAAGATTTGTTTATTATCAACGCGTCGTAACACATACTATACGTCTGAATGTAAAGATGTTGCCAGGGGATGAATGCAGTATTTTAATTCTAATCGCAGTTTGATTTTAATTCAAATATAATTTCCACTTTGTAATCTAAACGGGCATTTAATAACAAATTAAATAATGCCGTGGTATAAAAAATTGTGTTTTAGATTTTTTTTCCATTGGTGCAAATTTTAATCACATTTCTTTTTTATTTTAATATTTCGTAGATGTAAACTGAAAAAGCATTTAAAAATATATTAAATATTACTAGTGTATTTAAAATCAATACAATTGATTACGTAAATGTACTTTCTTCTTAAATTTTTTTTTTGTAGTTAAATATTTTTTCCCTCATGAAACAAGTATTAAACTTCTTTGGAATTTATTACTTTTTAAAACTGTTGTATGTTGTGTAAATATGTTAATTAACCAAAACTAGGATTTCATACAACTCTCGGCTTGCCCTTTATAGTTAAAAACTACTGTTGTTAAGTTAACCCTTTGACTACTAACGGGACTCATTTGTCCCAACAAATGTTTAAAAATTACTAATGGGGTGAAAAGCACTTAGAAACTCATTGTAATATGTCCCAGTCGTGAGTCGAACCAAGTATTCGTGTTTCATGTGTCAAATATCCCATAGATGGCGCTAAATAGTTTCTTGCGTGAAATAGCATTGTGATTTTGCGTTGGAACAGATGTATCCCAATAGTATTCTTCATTGGGACAGATATATCCCACGCTTATTCTTCATTGGGATTGTTACGTCCATTCATATTTTATTCTTATTTTCTCAAATGAACATAGAAAAAAGAGCAAATATGAGTTGTCCAATGTGTAATGTCGGGTTCTTGGCCAAGGTCGGGTTATGCAAAGATTGCTTCACCCTGTATCATACAATGTAAAAAAAATCCATATAATAAATTTTTCTGAAATGATAGATGTGCCTGTAGTAAGTCTATCACTACAGGTGGGACATATAATATAGAAATTAAAAATTTAGGGAGAATGTGCACTCAGCTGCACTTTATTAAATGAGTTATAGAAATTCAAACATGATTCATCGAAATTTAAAAAGAATGAGTCATACATATTCAAACACAAGGAAAACAAATCACATCTATCAAATAATAAAAATAACAAAAAAAGAAGTTGTGCTGTTTTTATCTGGCGCCATAGTAGAACATGACTATTTCTTTTCTCCAGTCTTTCCTTTAGTCCTTAGTCTTTCCTTTAATGCATTGCTCCAATGAATTCGACGTGATGGCTATATATAAAATTTAAATATCTTAATTTCAGATAACAAATTAGGACATCGACGTATAGGGCATCCAAAAACAAAACTGCCACCACTTGTAAACGAATATTTCATCATAGAAAACAAATAATTATATTAAAAAGTAAGTCGAAAGATGATGAAAAAAGAATAGAAATCATTACAAGCGAATCTTCTACCGAAAGTTGAAACAACCTCTGCAAATACTGCCCCCTACCGTTGAGAACACGAAGCACGGACGAGAACAAAGTGAATTGGATAACCACTAATTATTTTTAAGAAAAGTGTTAAGAGCTTTTACGAAAAGTAATCTGAAACTTCTTATGAAACAGGTTAACAATTGAACAACACTAGCACATGAATTCATATAATTTCTTCTTCAAACTCAATGGTATTATTTTAATACATTAAGTTATCACAAATCACAGCAGCAGAATTGTAGATGAGCATAGAATTCACATTCTAGGATCAACCGTTGGATTGTTGAAGATTTCATTTTTGCTTCTTGTCTTTCTTCTTTTTGTTAAATGTGGAATGAAATATGTTAAAAACCCACATCCAAGGCAAATTCCACTCAAAACGTAGAGAACACCGTCATAGGACCCCTGTGTACCTCTAAAGTGACCTAAAAGTAGACAATAATCGCCGCTTTCAATATATATAATTTTAGAATTATTTTAAAAATGCACTAAAAAACTATACACATCATCTATACATATATTTCTCTTATGTGGCTCCGTAAACGCTTGTATTTCTTTATTTATTGGCAACATTATAGTTATTTTTAAGTTTTTAGGTTGTCTTAAGTAATAAATTAAGTATTGTTGAATAAGTAGTTACACGTTAAGCATTTATTTAGTATAATTTTGTATTTTTATAGAAATAAAGACTTCATTATGAAATGATTATTTAAATTCATGTTTGATCCTTTCTAAAATGGCTGTAGAAATTTTATACATAAACGGGAATATTATGACGCAAACTGTCCTATCAATTCTTCGTGACATATCTTGCCTTTTTCAAGTAATAGAATATACTTTATTTGATACTCAAGTTATGGCTCATACTCAAGTGGTACGCGAAGAAGTAGTACAGCAGTAATGGAACATTGAGATGAGTTTTCCATTTTATTTCATGACAAAGATGGAAATAATTTCAATATTTCTGTTGCCTGCTATGAAATGTCCCTAATGTGCTGTGCATTCGACTTGAAAATCACTAAATTTTATTTGTTGTACAAAAAAAATTTAAGGGTTTCTAGTATGGAATAAATGTACTGAATTACTAAATTTTTAACTAATTTTTGTAGTTAAGGCAACAGCCTTAGGATTTTGTTGTTCTATACAAAAATGTAGAACTAAAAAGCCAGAGACGAGGCGAAAATAATAATAAATTGGGATAATTTGGTTTTCAAAGTAGTTAAATTTAGAATATGTTGCTGCATTAGTTTATCTAATATTTCTGTGCTTTGTAATTTGTTTAATAAGTAAAAAAATGCGTTTAATAAATAAAAAATGTATTATAGATATACTATTTTTAAGGCATAGGAAAAAATAATAATTTTACCTATCATAGGCGACATTCCTAGACTAAATGGAGGGTATAAAATGAGCCTAGAACCCATTGCCATAGTCCTTTTATCTTCTTCTATGCAATCTGGTATTAACGCGATCATTAAAACAAATAGTGCTCCTATAAAAACACATACAAAGAGCTCACATAACAGCACAAGTACATAATGATGAACGAAGATAAACGCTATGAATGATACAGATGCGCAAACAAAACATATTATTGTAGTTGTCGGTGTAGTTAAGTAATATTTATCGTTAAAAACTCCTGAGCCAAGGCGACCACATAAATCAAAAACGGGTAGACACACAACGTAATATATCTCCAAATTTGCACCAACGCCTTTATCACGAACGAAATCCAGAATTATAGTAAATATGGTGAAACAAATGAACAGAGTACCAGCATTGATTAAAAGTAAAAGAAGAAACGGCAGATCAAGATAAACTTTTAAAGATAAAATCGAACTTCTCCATCTGTTTCGTTTTTTACCATCTTTTGAATTACTGTCAACTAACACTCCACATTCGTGTTCATTTTGCTTGCATGAAACTTTCAATTCAGGCCCTTTTTCTGTTTCATGAGATGTTGATATTTGTGTTTCATGTTGCTTTTCTGGTTCAAAAGATTTTAAAATATGTGTTTCATTTTCTTCTTCTGGTTCAAGAGAATTTAAAACATGTGCTTCATTTTGCTCTTCTACTGAATGAAGTTTAAATTTCGTGTATTTATCTTTGTATGGATCAGATTTTTTTGCAATAGGATTTTTCAGTAGCATAGAAGCTGGAATAGTATGAGCCATTACAGCTGATAAAATCAGAAAAGATCCTGAAACGCCGTATAAATTTATAGAGTTCTCAATTAAAAGGGGTAAAAAGATGCTGCCTATACAGGCGCCAGATGTTGCAAATCCGTTAGCCTTGCTTTTACTTTCTGGAAATAGTTCATTCAAGAGTGCTGGCAGCATGTGATTTCCCAAGACATAACCAAGACCTAAAACAAATATTAAATATGAAACAAGATGTTTTATATTTAAGCATGAGAGAAATTAACGAGAATGTGTAACTGATTTTGTCAATCCCGTTGTGTCACATTTTGTATAAAAACTTTATGATGGATATTTATTTTGATCATAAAAGGGACTTTAAGACTTACGTAATATTTTTTAAGCTGTGAAAATTAATAATTTTGTAATATTTTTTATATAGTCCCAAGCTTTACGAATATAAAGATGTGCGACTATACTAAAAAGAGGCAAAAAATCTTAGTTTTAAAATTACTAAGTTATGTTTCAGTTAACTCTTCTCAAAACTGTGCTAATGATGAAAAAAAGGTTGATTTATTGACCTCAGATTTTTAGGTCGAAAAAAAACGAATCATCCTGAATATCTATTGATATAATGATCATATTTTCTGGTGCTAGATCTTAATCTTAATGGTTTAAGGAGGTGACTTCAAATACGTTAATTTATTAGGACAAACGGTATTTTAAGTTACGGAATTATACACAAAAACATACTTTCTTTCAATACACAACATTTTATTGACAGATTTGGATTTCTGACCCTTAAAATAGGGTGAGGTGTAGCCGCAATTTGGGAATTATTTAATGTTCAGGATCTATATTTTGAGAGTAAGAATTCCAAATCCATCGAAAAGAAGGTAAGTTTATTCAAAAAAAGTATTTTTTTGTGTCTGATATCGTAACGTAAAATATCGTCTGCACTAACTAATCAGCAAACTTGAAGTAACCCTCTCGAATCATTAAGATTTAGTTCTAGTTAATGAAGTACATTAGATCAAAAGCTATTCAGTGGGATTAATTTTTTTCTCCCACTGTACGCATGATTTGGAATAGATGATTGGTTATTCATAAAGGAACTATCAAAGATACATTACTGTTCTATTCCCAGAATTATTACACGTTATTGTGGGCATAATCCTCAATTACTTTAATATCACCTAATATACAGTAATTCATGTGTGGAAATAAAATAAAGCTATTTGTGTCTTTATCTGTTGCTTATAAATATCACATTCGGATCTAATGCAAATCCATGGACCAATATTGTCGCCATAGATAAAGGCGGAGGATTTTTGAGATTTATGAAAGAAATTGTTTTACAGTTTAAGGAAGTGCTTGGTTGTTAATGTTAAAAAATAAACTTACCAAACATCAATCCCCATAATAGCGTTATCGCTAATATGTCCTCCGCAAAAAAGCAAGCACCTATGCTAATTGTTGATATTGAGCATCCAATTAATATCATTGATTTCATTCCGAAAATTTGAAATAAGTAACCAACAAAGGGGCCTGTAATTAAAACAAATCAAAATTTAAAAACTCGTGTGTAATATCACATATCAAAATATGTTGAGGGTACAACTTTCTAAAAAGGATCATTCTGATTTGGTAAAAACAAACTCTCCTAGATAGGAGCCCCTATCTAGGAGGATTTGGTAAAAATTAAAAAAAATTAGGCATCATACACTTTGTTATTGTTTAATTTTAATCGAAGAAATAATTGAAGCAAATGTCTACTTTTTTATTTAGATTTATGTTTTATATTTTTTTAACTTTTGAATTGTTAATAATTATGATAAATAATTACAATAAGTTCTTAAACTTCAAGAGCTAATAATAAATATTAAATTTCAATATGATTAGTAGAATGGTCTTGCTCCAAAATATATTTTTCTTTAACCATTTACATCAACTTGAACTTCAATCTCTTGTGGCGTTTTTGTAAATCCGTAAACCAGGGATAATGCTTAACTCTGTAATACATTTTTATTTTAGCATTTTATTGAACGACATGAGAAAAACTGGTAGGCCATGCGAGAAAGAGGGCAGATCTTCAGAAAGAATCATTATATAGTTAGCTAAATTTTTCTGGTCTCATATGTGGAGCAAAATTAGCATAAATAGATGCATTGTTTTTTGTGCCCACGACTTGTTGAGATAATGTTCTCAAAATAAATTCATTTCTCTTTAAAATATTTTGCATGTTTCCAAACTTTATGTCTTTTCTGAAAAATTTGTTTGGGGTAAAAAAAGCAACTAAAAAATACCCTTAAATGACTAACATTCCAAATAGACACGCTGTATTCCTTGAGACTCAGCGGCTCCCCACAAATTATTCAACATGCTTAAGTTCTGTCCTTCGTACCATTAATATTGCATCGTAGTAGGTGCCATTCCCATCATTAGTTAAGTTTTTTATTTGCGCAATGCTTTGCTCATTGATTCCTTGCCCAAGATGCAGATCATTCCCAAACTCATTACGCAGTATCTACTCCTTATCTCAAAAGTAATCTGTAATATAAGCTAATTTGATAACTGGCACTATCAACTCAATATTGGTCGTCAATACAACTATTGCATGATGAAATTTTAGAACAAATCATTACTTACCTGAGAGGTTTCTAACTATATAAGTTAGAAAGAAAGGAAAGGATGCCTGCTTTCTATTGACATTGTATCGGGTCAGAGCTTCCACAAAGTATACTGCCGAAAGTCTAGCGGTACCAGCGAGCATGAAATTAATGATAAAGCTCCCAATCAATATTTTCCCGCCCTCAATAGTTTTTGTTTTCATCTGAAAAAAATTAAGAAATATAAACAGAATAATATTTAAAAACAAGCTATAAATTATTTATAGCTCTTTTTAATATGGCTCTTTTTAATAAAGGAAAGATCGTGAGTAAAAGGAAAAATAAACTTGAAATTTCTTTTGCTATTTTGTCCTGAAAAGAGCATATTTTGCGCTATAAATTCAAATATATTCGTATGAATATTTATTTACAACTCTTCCATTTTCCGATATAAACTTCAACACTATTGTTACTAAAGTTTTATTTCTTATTTGGGAACAATAAAATGTTGTTTCACCAGATCTACGTACCCTCCTCTAAGATCTGGGAAAAGACTGCTGGACGGCTGTGTTTAAAACATGAAAAACCGTTATGGAAAAAGAATAAGATGAAAATTTAAATTCTTGACCTATGGTTTGCCAGGGCCTTGAAGTGCTTTAATAGTGGTCGTCCTGTTAAGGTACCTCCATAGGACGCTACAGCACACAAGTAGCCAAGAGTTTAAATAGTTGAAAAGTTGATTTTTGTTGAAATGAAAACTAAAATGTTTATATTCCAAATTTTATAAACGCTGAGAAAGGATTCTAAGATCTAAATAGATCTAAAAAACGCATCTATTGCCTTGTCGTTGAATTTGCTTTAAATTTTTAATTGAAGAGTTTCGTAATAGTAGCTACATCGTTTCTCGTTAAATGTCTATTTTTTCAAATTTTGAAATTTCTATCATATAGTTCACAAAAATACGATATGACTTTGGCATATAATGACTGTTTTAATGACTAAACTATTGGGACTATATATTCCAGAGTCCGGTAACCCCAAATATTTTATAAGTAAAATATTCAAATCTGTCACAAAAGGTATGTTTATTCAGAGAAATTATGTTTTTGCGCTTGATTCCGAAACTTAATTAATTTTTGATTCTAATTAACCATAAAATTGGAGCTCAATTGGTGAAAATCCGAACATTAGAACAAAAGTTCTTTTGGGGTTCATATATTATTTATTTTGTACACTGTACACGTGTTTCTTTCAACATAAATGTATTTCTTCAAAAGTGAAATTCTTTTGACATAAATACATTATTTTTCTTTTTGTATACTGACTAAATTATTTTCTTTGAGTATATAAAGCCTACAATGTATGCATAGATTTAAAAGGATATATGAATACGCAAAAATGGGAGTTAAATGAATTCTAGAGGTTTAGAAAAAATGTAATGCACTTTAGTTCAAAAATTCATTTTTGGTGAAAATAAATACACTCTATAACAAAAAAAAAAATCGACGCACCAAGAAGCAATCATCCGATTGCTTTGAAATTTCGTATGCATAAATGTTTTGAACAGATCAGGCTGGAATGATGCCGACTGTTGACGTATAGTCTTTAACGACGAATCCAGCTTCCAACTGTGTCCTGACGATCATCGAAGACGCGTTTGGAGACGCACAAGGCAGAGGGGGGGGGGATCCTGCCTTCGCTATTGCACGCCACACCGGCCCTCAACAAGGCATTATGGTCTGGAGTGCCATTTCCTTCGACAGCTGGACCCCTTTGGTCGTCATTAGATGTACACTTATTGCACAGCGGTACGTCGACGGCATCCTAAGACCTGTTTTGCTACCGTTCCTTTTTTAGCGCCCTGAACTGGTTTTTCAGCAGGACAATGCCAGACCACATACAGCACGTNTTGACAGCCGGACCCCTTTGGTCGTCATTAGAGGTACACTTACTGCACAGCGGTACGTCGACGACATCCTAAAACCTGTTTTGCTACCGTTCCTTTTGCAGCACCCTGAACTGGTTTTTCAGCAGGACAATGCCAGACCACATACGGTACGTGTTGCTATGAACTGTCTGCAAGCTTGTCAAACTCTTCCTTGGCCTGCCAAATCACCATATTTCTCTCCCATCGAGCATGTCTGGGATATGATGGAAAGGCGATTGCATTTGGTACGGAATGTTGATGACCTCGTTCGACAATTGGATCGAATTTGGCAGGAAATACCGCAAGAGACCGTATTTTTTTAACT